TCCAATGTTCTCAACTCAACTTGGTCCTACAGAAATCATCTATCTTCGAAACAAAGAAAGATGACAGAAAATGGGAGGCACGGGGAATAACAGTGGATTGTAAAGGGTTCACATTTAATCCAATTATACTGTAATCAAATCACATGCAGGGATATAAAGGGAGTTATATCCACCCTAAACTAATTTGAGACAGAATACTTCACTTGCCCTACAAATGTCATAACTGACACTGAAAACATAAGCTGATGTTTGATTGTTTTTTATTGGAAAAATAATGACTTGAAAAACTAAATGTATGGTTAATGGTTGATGAGGTAATAAGTTACCTCTGTAGCTTTATGTGCCACTGTCTACTGCAAACTTAAGACCCATGTATGTCTGTATACACCAACATGTTCACGTTAGTCAGTGCAGATGATGAAATCTATGCCACGCAGATGCAGGAAGTATAATTTGGGCTTAATGGACACAGAATTCCTCCTTCATTTAAAGTTTTAATGTAGTTTCGTTTAAGTATACGTATAATAATATGCAACGCAACTTTTGTGTTGTGTGTCAGATTGTCAGGACTACTAAAAATGATCACTAGCTTGTAGTTAAATAATCATAACAATTATGTCAGCCACGGTCTGAAATCTGAGGTGTTCAACTTATTCCCAGAATCAAAAAACTGAATTTTAAAGATACACAGTTGGTTGAGACGTCAACTCATATGCCAGCAGTTTTGTCTCTTTAGCCCCTGTCCAGTGGCTCCCTGTGGCTTTGACATAAAAATGATATTGTTAAGGATATTATTGTAGGTCTAAAGTCATTCTTACATATGGCAAAAAAATAAAAATAAACATTTCATCGAAATTCAAATCCAAAAAAGTAAAAGTCTTGGAGGAAAATAAAGAATATAATAGTGCATGGACAGATTCATTTGCTTTTACCACCAATGCTGCTGGCTTACTGGTATGCTTGATCTGCAGTGACAAAATAAATATGTTTTGCAAAAGAAGTCCACATTTGAGAGCATCCTTGTCCCGAAGGCAGAAAACTGTTGTCGCTGGAACTTTCCCCATCCATGACCATTTTCCACTGTTTGTGCCTGCAGATATGGACCACAAAATGTGCTCCAAGTGCCACAAAAGCACTTGGCTGTCACGGATTGTTGATATCATATCCAGTATGTCACACTAAATTCACATTATACACTGGACACTGGACACAAAGCCTATGAATGAGCCATGACACACACACACACACAAGCAAGCAAGCATGCACTGCAAATCTCCAACAGAATGGACAAATAGAATACCCCTTAATCCAAAAATACACTGAAAGCAACAGACACACATTTCAATTTTGTTTTCAATGGCTGAATGTACACCAAAGGCACAAAGTGGCCGTGGTGTCTCTGAAGTATTGTGAGTCAGACCTTTTTTTTGCTGCCGAAGTGCATATTAATACAACAATTAATTTATCAAAAAGTAATCATTTTCATGCTAAGTGAACATAGTAAATACACCTGTTTGCGCTTCATTATGAAATCCCTGCTGCACAGAAATAACATAACAGATACAGGAATAACTGGTCTGACTTTAGTAGCAGAAATGATAACTCAGGATTAACTAGACCTCATTATGCATGATTGTACAAGACTAAACACTCTCTAAGACTGTTAGCACAAATGCTGTTATTGTACAGATCAGTAATATAGTATAGTGTAGTGCAGTCTGTATTATCAGGTGTGCATAAAGGCAGATCCACACAACATGTGTGCTGTGCCATTGATAAAAACAATACAAGAAAAGCCATGTTAACAAATGAATGGATTCTATCCATAGAAATGCCAGAAGGCTTTTAATCTGAAACAGAAACAGAAGGTGTTGTGTTAAATGTCTGTGACATTCTACATATATACAAACTGAAACCTCAACTCTCTAGAGAAGCGTTGCTGCACCTGAGACACTGAGGCTCATGCGGGCAGTGCTCTAACCTGTGAACATGGGGGGAAAAAAGCAGGACATTCCGCCACGCACACACGCTGCTGACACAGGCAGTGTGGATGGGACTTTAGACTTCTGCTACTCTGTGTAAAGCTTCAGTACAGCTTCGGGTTTAGTTATTTTTAAACAAAATATAATAAATATCTCTTTTACACCAATCATAAACTATGTGTTGCAACCAGATGTCCTGTGGGAACTATGTTGCATTAGCCTGCATTAGCTGGTCAGCAATGGATAAAATAAAGCATAAATATGGCTTTGAGTCTTGGGTCGTGTCCTAAATTTAGAAGTACCAGTCGGGTTCAGTCAGTCAAGCTTTAAAGATGCCAGTATAGGTAATTTCCCAAAAGCATCTTAAGGAGTAACAAGCAGTAGATTTAGTAGCACTAAATCCACTTTTTTCTGTTCTAAAAAGATATCTGTGTACAGTCACTTTATTACACTATCTATTGATCCTGATCCCATTCAATAGTGTTGGTTACAACAGTATATATTTTTTTCCTTTCCCCCCTCTCAATTGCTCTTTCAGCATCATGTTCACAGTTCAACACTTACCTATATAAGTGCAGTTCTATGAATTCTTAATTACCGTCAGAATAAATATCTTGGCATCAAAACAGCTGCAGCACAAGTGGCTGAAATGGTGTAGAAAGTCGGGGGAAAGAGAGCAAGTGGAAAGGAGGTCAGTGGTCGTGGAGGCTGGGTTAAATGCAGTCTCTGAATTTGTGAAGGGGGGTTGTTCAAGTCGGAATGGGTTGTTAAGTTGCTTTTTAAGACTAATAGTTGCAAAATCCATCTTACGAATCTTCTCCATCTTAAGAAGTGCTCCCCCAAAGCATCTTAGAAATTCCTGCAGGAGGCACTAAAAAACATGTTTCACTGTTATTGTTTTTTTGTTCATTTATTATACACTATTTATGATCTTTGGTACTCTGTGTTAAGTGATGTTTGATGTAAAATGACTGGTGATGTTTGAATAAGAAACTAAGACAATAAAAGTGACATGCTGTCCCCATTGTCCTCTCACTCTTTTTGCATAACTATACTAATATATGCCACTTTCCTGTTTTTTGTTTCCATAACTTCTCTTTTCCTTTTATGTATGCCACATGTTGTTTGCCACATGCTTATCCTGTAGCTCTAATACAGAAACGGCAGAACTCACTAGGCAACTCACTGCCAACTGCTCATTGAGCTTTGTTTTCATACTAGATGATTCCAAGTATGAAACATTCCTATTGTGTTTACAACATTTTCACTTTGTGACTTATGTATTTTTAATATACAGTCAAAAACACCACATTACATTAAGTGCTTTTAAGGGTGTGTCATGCACTCCTTAACTGCTGCTTTGGGAAAAGTGTGTAAAAACTTTTGTGGAAAACATTGTTAACTTCAACAGTAAGATCAATCTGGAAACAGGGCCCTGGTTTGGTCTCAGCTGTTTGCCTGCACAAAATGTGCTTTATGCACTGACTGCCACAAAATGTGCTTGTTTACAGTGTTATTGTCACATCATATGCTGACAACAAAAGACACATCATTTTTAAAATTGGAAAGGTGATGTTTTTGGATGAATTGCATTCACATGCCGTCAGAAAAGCAAACAAACAAACAAACTAGGGATGTCACGAGAACTGATACTTCGGGACTGAGTTCATGCCAATGTTCTGAAAACATGACGGTACTTTCTACAGTTTTTCTACAGTACCATAGGTAATGAGGATTCAATTCTTCAGGGCCTGATGGGACACCTCCTGTACAGTCGAGTGACTGTCACACATGCTCTGCAGAGAAACACAGAGAGACGCTCTCTGGCGCAGATACGGTGTATAGACCAGGTAAAGCAAGAGCAGCGAACACATCAGCTGGTGCCAACGTAATTTGGTACCCTGGTGGTTTCGATCATTTTGATAGAGTACGTCATTAACAATGAGTCTCTTCCACACGCGGCTCACCTGCTGATGATAAAACAGAGTTGTGGTTGAAAAAAACCAACGCAAGTTTATAAATCAGACTGCTGAAGAAAGTCAACAGAGACACGGAGACAGAAACAGAACCCAAACCTCTTCTACTGCAGGTACATGCTTCTCCACAGACCAGTGCAGGTGTGTGTGTGTGTGTGAGGAAAAGAGTACTAAAAGGAAAACCAAGGTGAGCAGATTAAAGAAGTTTGTGAGTTAAGTATGGAATAATAAGAAAAGAATCTATTAAAAAAGGGACCACTGTTATTTTTTCAAATGTTTTCAAGTTAAAGTACATGGATTTATTGTTTTGTTTTTGATCGTGGTATTGAATTAGTATGGAGAATCGTGGCATTTCACTCGTATTGGTATTAACTACTAAATTTTTGGTATTGTGACATCCCTAAAACAAACAAACTATATAATACAACACAATAGCAAATGAAAACACTTGAAAAGCAATATGGTATCTGCTTTAGTTAAAATGTATTTTTGCTTTGATGGGTCTTATACAGCAGCTCTAAACATTTATACCGGCCTCTCTTTGGTGCATGCTGCCTGCACTTTCCCTTACATCCTCTCCACTCTATATGCCACTAGAGGTGTAAACTGACTGTAATATACCTCAGGATATTAGCTTAGAACAGGGTTTCTTAAACCTTTTATGGCATGCCCCCATTTAGAAGCTGAATCCGTGGATCCATGTTAAATGTTTGAGAGCCAATGGTTTGGAGTAAGACAATATAAGTCAATGGTTTGGAGTAAGACAATATAAGTCTGCATTAATAAATAATTTTCATTCTGGGCATTCTGTGTTTAACAGTGATGTATGATTCAGGGGACATAAATCATAATGCCATATGCTTATTTTTCATACAGCCAGCTTTATATATGCATTGTACCATCTTTTCTAAAACACCTCCGCTCTCAGACCCACAGGGACTGGTCAAGGTGAGATGACACATGTCAAACAAAGTCTGTAAACATTTACAACACACACACCCGTGCCTGATAACGCCAGCAGGATATGGCACACCAAACTTACCGAGTACACCAAGCCGATAGTTCATGGTGACCACAATGACATTTCCATAGGCAGCAAGGACGCTGCCATCGAACATGTTCCCTGAGCCCTCCATGTAGGAGCCTCCGTGGATGAACAGCATCACCGGCTTCTTGCGACGATCCCGAATATCTGCGCAACACAGACAAACAATGGTGTTATATTCATGTTCATCAATTCTTATGTTTAGCATGCACTCTCTTAAGAGCCTAGTGAGCTTAAGTGTCCACAGGCAACAGGTAGTCTACCTAGTTTTAACAGACAGCTCTAGATTTGAATAATTTGTATGTATTTAAGTAAACAGATCTATATGCAGCTTGTTCTAACCTCCTGCAGCCAGCGATTCACCAGAAAAAAGAAGACAGAGGTTTTAAATATGAAACATTTTCAGCAGACTGCATTTAAGTTGGCAGCAAGAATTTCATGTCTTCCCCACTGGGCATTTCCTCTATATTTTTTATTTTGTGACGTCTGTTCCCCTGGCCTATGATGGTACCTTCCCAAACTGTTATTCCCCTCCATGTGTGTAGCAAATGGTGCAGCCAGTTCTGATGTCCTCTCTGTTATTGGTGTCTTTGTGCCCATCAGTGTGTTGCTATGGTTCACTCTGTTGGCCCATGTCCCCCCCCCCCCCCTGAACCCCCCCGCCCATGTCCCCCCCCCCCATGAAACCCCCCTCTCAGAGCGTCTGTGGTATGGTCTGAGTGTCTGAGCATGGATAAGGCTGAGGGAGCTGCCAGTGCAGCCCATTTAGGCTGAGCGTCTGCACTGTGCAGGGCCTGTGGATAATTTGTATGAAAGCCAGACCAAGTGGAAACATAAATAACAGCCACAGCATCTGTTTACCCTGATGAGCTTCAGCACTCAGAGATTGGGGGGGGCGGGGGGGGGACAGAGAGATATGAGGAGAGAGAGAGATAAAAGGGGGTAAGACAGAGAGAGGAAGGAAATGAAAATAGGGCAGTGTGAGAAAACTGACGGGGGTAGAGACATGGATGGGAGGTTCAAACCAAAAAAAACATGATGGCAAGGATGAAGAAATATGAAATGTTTCAAAGCAAGTCATACATAGCAAGGTACGCTAATGAACACTCAAATTCACACAGGATTCACACCGTATTCATACAGAGACACACACACACACAACACACACACACACACACACACACACACACACACAGATACAGATACAGAGACACAGACACAGACACACACACACTCACACACACACAAACTCTTGCATAGGCAGCTGCGATGTTGAGTCGCTATGGAAACTGCTTCTCGCTAATAGAACTGCACCAGCCATTCCATTGCACCGACTCACTGAATGCCTGTTGCCTTGGTAACAAATTCTACTCACGTATTTGCACACCCGCCTGCATCACCACCTGAATCTCAGGTTACACATGCACTTGGGTGCGTCACTCACAGTCGCGCGCACACACACACACATACACACGAATGAGCACAGAAAAATTGCACATATGGCTTCACACATACGTATGACACAAGCAGACTGGCTAAAAATAAAAAATTTCAGTCGTACACTCCAACATGCTGCTCTTTTTCATCTCCTCTCTGGTGTATACTGAACCTCGGCTGATTTCCCAGAGGATATGTAAACAAGTTCAATTATCCCCGGCATTACCAGGACAGTATAGAGGAGTGACATATCAGCAGGCCGTCACATTCACAGTAACACTCATACCATAAATTAAATCTTGAGAGAAAGGGAACTTTGGCCATGACATGTAGTTGCCATTTTAAAGGCCCAATGTTCTGTTTTCTTTTAAACTTTTAAATGAATGTTTTATTGCTGTGTTTACAGAGATTATTCATGTACACAGATTTGATGCAAACACCAATTAGCCACCGATTTTGCAGTGCACTTCTAGGACATTATCAAGGAGATAGTCAAGGAGAAAAATTGATGCAGCAGAACCAGAGATATTGTCTTTTTTATTCCACACATTCTTCCTCCTAGTCAAACCTGATGCTGTCATTACTTACAGCCTGACTGCTGCCAATTTGGTTGGAGATTCGGGCATGTTATGCAGAGGAGTGGTCTACAGAGGTCTGATAAACTCACATCTTCTTTCAAACTCCACACCCCCCAAATTTATATAATTTGCAAATGTGTAGTCTATAATCTCACATGGTTCTGACTCAAGTGAGGCAATTTATCAGGTTTCATGCAGCCACAAAAGTCTTTATAGAACTTCTTTCACATATGTGATTATACTCCCCAACACCCATAAACACACTTTGGGTTCCCCATTAAATTTAGTAGTTGTTCAATCTTTAGTGACCTGTGGGTACCACGTGCTGTAAAGCACTTTGGATCAATTGTATTGCATGTAAAGTGCTACATAAATAGAGTAGTGACAGGAGAGTTTGTGAGATGTGGTAGGGAGACTCTTTTGTTTATATCTGAATCACAAATTTTGCTTTTAATAGAGAGCTCCCCATTCAAGATAGGCTCTGTTGCACTAGCCTTGACCAAAACATTTATTATTTTTATTTTTTTTCATTAGTTTTTCTAAAAGGCTGATATATAACAGTGTTTTTTTCTGTTAAATGAGTATCTGTTGCTGTACTGAACAGTAAAATTTGAGCAGCTTGCAATTTTACCTGTGATAGACCAACCAAATATTGATTTATTTATTATTATGATTATTATTATTTATTTATAAGCATTTAACAACTAGAGCCCTTTTGAGATTTTCATAGTGCGTCAACACATTTAAGTTGTTTTACCTCTGAGAATACACAAAGTTCACAAAGTAATAATATAGTGTTACAGGGTATCAAGGTCATTACTCTATGAAGTGACTCCAAAATGACCCTTTTTGTTTCACTTTCAGTTTTTTAAAATTGTCAATCTGTGAACAAAAGGGAGAATGAAAAGATTTTTTCCCTAATAATCCAGAACGACCGAAACCTCTGAATAATTAAAAGTTGTAACTTAAATATTTGCGAAGCCCAGTAAAGGCTAGGAGAAAGCCAAAAAAAAAACCTAAAAACTAAATGGAAATAAAAATCCATTCATTTTGGAATAAAAGATAAAAAGCTCATGCATACCTACAATGCCTTAATGACAGGTGGATAGGAAAAGGTCCAAGGAAGTGTGAAAGAAGAAAACTTCTCGCAGTCTATCTCATCACTTGTACAAACTTTATTCTGACAGCATTTTTAGGGCTTTAGACTAATCTTAAAAAGAGCATTTGTCAAGTTCATATTAATATAAAATCTGGACACATGGTATAGATATTTTAGTGGGAATACAGGCAATTGTCTGGTTATCACATCATCTGCATAAGAAGATTTGTGTTACAAAGCATAATAAGAAAACAGATTTAAAAGAAGAGAAGAAAACAGAGTTGGATGTGTGCTGAAGTGAGGGAATTGGTACGGGGATTGGAAGGGGCTCAGCACAAACAGAGGGGTGATTAGGGGTGCAGGGTCGCAGGGTGAAAGTGTTTCACTCAGCCCAAATCCAAGGTCTATATGGCCAACAAGGAGCTCACTGTCTCTGCCGCCTGCCTCCAAAACACTGGCACATTATTCACTTCTCTCTTTTCAACCTAACCTGATACTATCCTCCTCAATTCCAACCCCCCACCTTACATCTATTCTCAATGTAACGTCTTATGTTATGTCTCCCAATAGAAACTGCCTACTTTCAGCTTTTCCATTATTCTGGTCCTCTCTCATTCATTCTCTTATGGAAATCTCAATTGATTTGGGTGTAAAAGTTTTAGCCTGACTCAGCACTTGGATATTGTTTGCACCCAGAGCAATGCAGTTTCTCGCAAATAACTTTCAAAAAACAAGATGCTAATAATAGTATTTTCCAACAATGTTTAGGAACCTGTGTCCAATCTATACCTGAGCAATTAAGTGAGGAATTCAGGCCTACCCGAGCCCTCCCGATCCTGTCAAGATCCATCAGGTGTTGGCATAAATGTCAAGCTCTACCAGTCTCCTACTCATCCACCCTCTCAATCTCTCTTTCTCTACATCTCTCTCACTTTCAAAGCTCTATAAATGTCATTTCATCATGCACTTGTCTTCATTATGACTATTTTTTCCCTTCTCTCCCCCTCATTGCCCTCCCCTGTGCTCTCGCAGTGCTCAGCTTTTCCTTTTCTTTCATCTCTATTCTATCATTCTGCTCCTCTCCTAGGCAATCCTGCATGAATCCTTCCTTCTGTTTTCACCGTTAAGAAACCACACAATTGGATTAGCTACATCTGTCTCTTTTTAAACCATAGCAATTAGAGATGCAAGGGAGAGAGAATTCAATACCCAAATAGCACGGAGCCCAAAATACAAAAAAAAAAAAAGCCACACACATTGGCACAAATTAGAGCACATGCACTCAGGCGTAGACTCGCACATGTGCACACTGTGCTTGAGTAGACGCACATGCAAATGGAAATGTAATGCACCGTACGTGTGCATAATGCAATGTAATATACAGTATGTCTGGGCACGTGTACAGAAAGAGATGCACACACTGTCTGCATAGATTTTGGCTGCATCACTTAAGAGTAATGAGAGCATCTCCATTTGACTGCAGTGAACTTGAAAATGTACAGCAATAGCAAAAAATGTGCAGGAATCCTCCAGTACTTCCTACTTTAAAAATGAAATATTGGAGGAAGCCCAATAACATTATGAAGGACAATAATTTAGCAGACCATTTCATAAAGGACTTTAGTACAAGAATAAAAGCGCAGGTAAAAAAGGACAGAATATTGATTTTTGGTGATGCATCACACAGGATAGTCAGAACATCAGCGTGTGGTTGATCAACCACATAGCAACCGAGAGAGGAAAGTAAATTAGCTCCCCCTGCAAGTACCCAAAAAGCAGCATTTGTGACGGGGTGGGAATGAAGAACAACTATTTTGTATGGAGCTCTTTATGCATTTCAGCTAAAAGCGTGCATGTGAGAAGGAATGACATATTTGTGCGCTAATAAAAGCAGTTAACAGCAGACAGTGTGATGTGCACACTGAGTGATGAGTCTAAGATGATTATTAATACAGATACAAACACAACATTCCCCACAGAGTTTGGAAATTGGAGCACGAGGAGAAAAAAAACAACTATGCAATTAAAATACCTTCATCCCTTGGTCTGTTCATTGTAGACTCATCTTGTTTTTTTGTAAGCGGACCTGAGGTTGAGAAAAAGAGGGGAGGGGGGGAGACAAAAGACAAAATTCAAAAAGATTGCATTTGTAGAAAAACAGAAAACAGGAGAAGATTAAACAAGAAAAATGTCAAAAGATGAGACGTTATGCTCGGTTACGTTTCAGTGACTGTGTACAGCTGAAGACAAAATGTTTACAAGGATTACACACAGTTTCCTGAAAAGAGAACCCCAAACTCATCTGTTTTAACTGCTTAGTATCTAGTCACGGACTGTCTCGTAAATGACCCCGGGGGCCACTTCTCCTCGACCCTTCTCCCAATCAGTCCTGACACACTGCTGCTTTGTAAAGAAAAATCAATGAGTAGAATCAAGCCATCACTCTTTTCTGGCAGAAAAAGCAAAGGAATGCCAAGACACTCTGTAACCTGCTCCAGCTCAGTACAGTGTTGCAGTCCTAAAGCAAAAGTCCCTGCACGATCCAGAGAGACTAGACTGTCAAAACATAACACTGAAGAAACACACACACACACACACACACACACATTTCACAACACGTTGACAGTGTACTTCATGAAAGAGAGAAAAACATATTTATCGTCCTCATTTCAGCACATTGGAACCAGCTGAACACATACTGTTGTTTGATGCCAATCATTGTGTTTTTATGCACTCAAGTAACCAGATTGTTTTGGTTTCCGGCAGTATTCTGATTTGTAAAACATCACATAGACATGAAACCAGATACCTACATTCAGGATAAAAGAAACACTGTTAAGACAGCTCCATTTCTGCTGAAGAAATCTGCTTCGGCCGTGTGAACATCTTTTGTTTTAACAGTAATCCATCCAGGTTCTTATGTACATTGTTTGCATTGGTTATTATTTACTTTACAAATTGAGATTTTTCACATAAAATTCATTTTAGAGAGTTAATTTTAAAATATGATCCATTGTTGTAGATTTACCGTCCAAGCAATATATAAAATATTTAAAATGAGCTTCACCTTGTCTAACTGCAACAGTTAGTCAATGCTCATTGCACAACAATGACATCAGTACCAATGGCCTGATATAATATGTATAACCCTCACAGGGACCATTTTCTGTGTTTATCTTCTTTACTTTTGATACCTTAAGGACATGTTGTTAATAATACAATACGCACTTTTTCTTAACTAACATTTATAACTAGTGTTTTTACAGTGTGCCTTTCATGAAAACATACCTCTGAATATTATTTTCAATTTCTGCCACTAGAGCCTCCTAAATGTTACACACTGGACCCTTAATTAAAGAGCGTGTAAGGAGTGTAAAAACTCTAGAGAAGATTTTTACAGAATCCATAAAGGCCCCCAAAAGTGTTAAGATGATTTTAAATCTATATTGAGTATTCTACACCACAACCTCCATGCTCTTTTTATGGTTGTCAGAAATCTAGACTTTTATGAAACTTGACATACCAAAGCACTGTTTCATAATGCATTACTCTATTGTTCTGCTCTTAATCCACATTTTAAACCCTGTGTTCTGTTATATAATGACTCACATTAACCATGACTCATTTTCACCATCACAAGTGTGCAGTCAGCTCCGCTTATAGCATCCAGGAGCATAAAACCCACCTGAACTAATTACTTTGACTCCAGTGGAGGCAGCTGAAACTTACTGTGCATTAACATACTTCTCAGTAAAGGTGTTGATGATTCAGATACTGTGAAAATTCACTTTACTCCACTTTGTGCTTCGGTTTAAGTGCCCTTTCAACATTTACACACTGTTCAGGTGGAAGAGAGTGTCTTTCAACTCTATAAAAACTAGAATAAAAAATGTATTCCACAAATGGCTGTGCGCCTTTGGTTTCACGTATCTGTATGCACGTCTCCATCTGTGTGTCCTTCAGGCCCTCCTTGAGTTCCTCAGTAAGGTGGTTTCCAGGGAGAAGAAGAACAGGATGAACCTGTGGGCCGTAGCGACCATCATGGCTCCCAACCTCTTCCTCCACAAGGCCGTCCCCAGCAGACTGACTGAGGGGGCAGAGAAAGGGCATGCGGAGAAGGCAGCTGACGTTATGAGGCTCCTTATCCGCTACCAGGAGCTGCTCTGGACGGTATGACCACCCACATATTCAGCTTCAGGAGGAGAGGATTGTTGGTTTTACTGAAGCAAACATTAGATATAGTGTAACATTTTAAAGGCTATAACCATTTATTCTGTGAAATCTTTAAACATTTTTCTTAGTAATAAAGAGTAATCAAGCAACACTCATCACAAAAACTTGGTATTTCCTATCCCAGTTGTCCAAATACCAGTCTGACAAATAGTTGTACTTCAGCAAGTCATCCTTATAATAATTATTGTAAGCGTATTTCTTGGTATGAAAATATAACCATCACAAATGTTCCTTTTCTCTTCAGATCCCTAATTTTCTCATGAGCCAGGTGCGTAAGCTGAATGAGAACAGTAACCGGCGTTACCAGTTCTACGATCGCCGCATCAAGAACCTGCTGAGGAAGATCCACACAGACAGCCGGGAAAAACCTGATAAAAACAGCTCAGAGGTTAGTGCTGTACAGTACACGTGGCCAAAAGCTGTTTGATTTTGGCACTAAAAAAATATACAATATAATTACAGTCATAAATGGTTTTAACAAATCTCAGTTCTTTTGGTTATTTTGTCGTCTAATGCTGATATATTTGTGAAAAGCACAATAATATTTCCGCTCTTAATTAAGCTTATTGTACACACTGTATTACATGCTATTGTTGTGTTAAATATTATAAATAATTCTTTAACTATTTATATTATAAATATTCTTTAACTATTTTTGTCCTATAGCTGTGCCGTACAGTGAAGATCCAGGTCGGGGACCTGGTGAGCGGCACCATGGAGTACCAGCTCACGTCAAACTCTCGAGCCTCAGACCTTCTCACACAGTTTCAACGCCAGTCCCTCCGCAGCCCCGATAATGGAAAGGGCAAAACGCGAAGGTACGGTACTGAGAGTGTAAATACATGCTGACTTATTCAGAATTATCTTAAACATACAAACCATTGCCACCTTGCATTGTAAGATTATGATTGGTGAATCTGACTTCCAGAAGTTTCCAAACAAAACAACTTGATAAAGACATAGCACATGTAGCTGTTGGTACTCATAAAATACAAAGAGGTCTTTAACATGAAAGGGATGCAGCATGAAGCCAGTTGCAACTTTAATTTTGTTACGTAATGTGCTTAGCAGTTTAAAAATGACATTTAATGTGATTTATCTTCATTTGTGTGAACTAAGTATGATTTATAGCTAATGGTTGTATGTCTGTCAACAGAAACGGCTCTGTGGCGTATCCAGACTGTGCCCTATATGAAATTGGGGGGAATATCGGTAAGTGAAAGTGTCTGCACCGTTTTCTCTGGTTGGAGCACTGCTGACATTTGCATGTCTTTCTGCTCATTGAGCTGATGAGGGTAGCAAGGTCTTATGTAATGAACTATGCAAGCGCCAAAGAGAAATGAGCGGTGCATCTGCAGTTATCAGAGCAGACAAATGCTTATTACACACATGTTTGTGCTGTCACAGGAGAGATGACACAGTAAACAGTGGAAAAAAAACTTGTTCAGTTCAGCTTTGTAATGTAAAACTTCTGCTTGTGCACGTTATTCTGCACGAGACTATTGACTTTAAAAAATTGGACACTTAATCAAAAAAATAAATAATCGGGAACTATCCAAGTTATAGCTTCTCAGTTGTGAATTTCTCTGTTCTGTGTAACTATAAACAGTTTCTGGGAAACTGGGATGGACATTTTCCACAATTTTCTGGCATTTAATAGGTCAAACAATTAAAGA